CGTTTCAGGCATATGTAAAACTTAGTTGTTTCCTCTTGCGTTGTGTATGTACCTCTGCGGGCGATAGAATATTTACCTCATCAAGTAAACTGTTACACTTATTTCAGTGAATTTCAGTCGCTAGGTCAAAGTGTGTTGATGGTGAGGTTCGTAGCGAATGAATATTGGACGTTCCGGTGTCACTTAACCACTGCCTCAGCAGCTGCCGGATGTTCCGTTGGTCGCCTTAACCTGGTCGACTGCTTCATTACTTGCGTTTCCTCTTCACACATTTTAGTGCCTTGTGAGATTTCTTATATTGGAGGTTCCATTCGTTAAAGGAAGGCTGTTTTTGCAGCAGTTTAAGTTTATAGGTTAGGTAAGGAGTTCGGCTGATCAATTCTGATTGTTGTTGTCACCTTCAAGTCATCCACGGCACAGTATCAGTATGATCCTTTGAAATTGTAGTCCACTTAGCACTTAGGAGTTGCCATTGGAATTCAGTGCAGAATGTTTGCGTCTTATGATCGTTTTCTTGGGGGTTGGAGATTTAGACCTGTGAAGAAGAACAGAATGGGTATTAATAGCGTTTGCAATAGAAGAAGCGTACCCTTCAAACTTGTGACTTTTGCTGAAGGCACTTCAGAGATCCATCTATCGAGGTAGTTAAACTGTGATCGTACACTGCACTTATGGTCTGTATTTCCATCATTAAGTCGATGTATTTTACATTCCACATCACATACGTGATTTTCCACCTGTGAAGTGTGAAATGCGTCGACTTAATGATGGAAATACAGATCATCGGTGCAGTGCAGGATATACGTATACAGTAAATTATATGCAGAATATATATAGTAAACTTAATTATACAAAATCTTTTGCTTTCAGGATGTTGAGGCCTTTTATGAAATTTATTCGAAGATAGATTCATCGCTTGAGTCGCTGCGAGAGAAATTCTTCAGTGAAATAGAAGAAGTAATTTGGTAGCAATGATTGCACTCATTTTTTTTTGACATGTTGTTAAGGATTCGAGTTTATTCGAAACGAATCCAGAATTTCAGAAACCTGGTGTTGCCGGCGGTGCTTCCCCAAAATTGTCTGACAAGTCTTCGAGCAAACTTTCTGATGAAACTGGCAAAGTAAGGAATTATAGTTATTTATTAAGATTTTAAAAGTTTTACTTCTAAAATGATAGAACTGTTTTTAAATTTACGAGGAGACTGCGCAGAGCACAGGAAATTTCTTCTTCAGTTGATGAAACACTTTCTCATAACTCCTTTAACATGCCGTGTGGACAATTTTACTGCTGAAGGATGGGAAGATACCCAAGACGGTACCAGTCCCTTAACACTCGAGATTATGTCATTTCAGTTTCACAAAGTGATGTCTTTGTGTAAAGATCTATCTGCCGTTCGTCTTCATCATTTTTGCAAGGCCACCATCAGCATCACGCCGCTCACAGTTCTTTATCACATTAAACTCCTCTTGTCCAATCGTTTGTTGATAAGAAATTATCATATTAATACATTCTAGGTTTCTGCTCACAGTTCTACCCGTTTTAAAACATGAATAAATTATTTCTGTGGAGCAAAATTCTTCATGGTAGCTCATTCCACATAGTCAAAATATTGACAATCTAAGAATTTTTTTTTGATTACACTCGATCCATTTTCAGGAGCCATATTACACACGAGACAATACATTTATGCGAATAAACTTTGATCAGTTGCTACTACTGAGAGTTTGCTACTTTAATCCTGTATTGTATCTTGTACAGTGACAATTGTTGTGAGTATAATATGCTCCTGAAGATGAGCGTAATTCGAAACGTCTAGTAAGTTGTCCATTTTAGCTACGCAAAATGAACCCGTTTGTGTAAGGTTTTGGCCAACTGAAAATATTTTTGAATTAATTATAGATTAATTACAGGTAGTGAAACTGCAGTTGAGGCTTTAAACATGAAGCTAAATAGATATCATGGTGATTACATAAATACTAAAATATTGATCCGTACGCCAGAGCATGTTTATTGTGCGTATGACTCGTTCAGGATTAGATTTCACCGCGTATTGCATCTCACCACTGTTCCTGCAAAACTACTGCAAACGAATGATGATAATCATGAGGTTTCTCTGGCGTATAATAGGAGATGCATGATATGTCTAGCACTGCCGGTGCTCAAATGCAGTGGAGCAGTGGCTTGTTTTAATTTCTCCCTTAATCAACTAGGAGCAAGGTGGCTGTGCATTGCACCGTGAAATGCGGTATAGGAGGAGTCATGCACAAAAAATTATTTTCATGCAATGATGTCAAAAGGTTGATGCGATTGGATGAAAGTGTAGTGCTTTGAATAATCCGCATCTTTTGTATCATTTTTTATATACTTTACATAGTAATTTAATCATCAATGTAAGTTTCCATTTATGAACCTGGTACTGCAGTCACTACCGCTCGTAACCGAAGTACATTGAGAGGTGTATGCAGACTCGTTTTATCCCTTGGTGTAATGAATAAAGCTGTTTTAACTGTCGATTCCTCTCTTGCCGACCAGCATCTATTCTGTCTTAAATTGATGACCTAATGGGTCATCGCTAGAAATCTGCATCTGCGGACAACGAAGTTTTTTTAGTCGATTTCTTCCAGCAGCTTTTTTGCTCT